AGGTAGGAGATGTTGGTCTTACCTTGGTGAGACATGGTGCCTTTGCCATGGGTGCGAGGAGGTAGGAGATGTTGAGGTTCTGTTGGTTCTCCTCCTCCTGTGCCTCCTCCCCCTCCCCCTGACCTGACACCTTGGGCAGCACACACTGGTACTCCTGCCCGTACTTAGATGCCACGTACAAAACATCCGGCAGTAACGCCTGCAGATACAAACGTTTATCAGTGGGGTTCTGTACGGGGATTCCAATGATGCTACTAGTGCATGTAAATTCAGGAAGGCTAGCTATGTACTATTCTAAATCCAGAAGCCATAGGTAACCAGTACATCATAAATACTGGTGCCACAACCCTACACTACAGAGTCATGCCTTCAAGTACCAGAGTTTAATAATAATCAACTAAGGATTGAGGTGTTCAAAAATTCATTCTTTCCTAGAACTATCGCAGAGTGGAACTCACTGTCACCAAGTACAGTATATGTAGGGGCATTGTCATTAGATAGCTTTAAACAATGTCTAGAGTTAGAAGTTCAAGGGTTAGGTGTAACGTTAGTCGATGGGTGTAATGTAGTCAGCTGCCACTGGCTGCGTGCCTGCAAAGCTGGTGTGTTACGCCAAAAGGCAGTTATATACTTATAGCAAGGATTGAGGTGTAACACACCAGCTTCGCAGGCATGCGGCGCGGCAGCAGCTGTATAGAACTGTGAACACCTCCATCTGTAATTTCTCAGACCACAAACTTTTGCTACCACAAACTTCAAGTGAATTACACTGTAATTTACAGTATTGCATCTGGTATATGCATTAGTTCAAAAATATTCGATTCTTCTAATTAACATGATGCCAAAACAATCATGATGTTATATATAACGTCATATAAATTATAATTTGACTAGTCACAATTTTTGTGGTCCATTCCTAATTTAAAAATACAAGAATGAAGACTCTAAATTATTTTTTATTGATTTCCTACAGCTATAATAATTATTTTAACTAAAAATCACAAATGAAGCCTATAGTGACCGTCTAAAACTTTGAACAAGCATTGGTTGCCTGCTTCTGAATCCAAGGGCACTTTAGATTAGAATTTATGTCACACATATGGCAAGCGAATAATAATAATTTGCTGATTATTTTAACACATTTCTGACTTAGAACGCACCTCAGTCCTTTCTACTGGCGTATTTTGAATCTCGATCCCATATTTCATCTCGTTCAGCTCATCGATGTGAAGAAAACAGCTCGTTTGGTGGAAAAACAGCATCAAACTGCACAGAAACACAATTTTTCTTCCGCCTTCCGCCATCTTGGGTTTCAAAACAATGTACGCCTGCGTAGTACACGTTAGCGGTGTCACAGCGACACCTTGCGGTTCATAAATAAAATGCAGGATCCAAACCAACCACTAATACGGCTGAATACGGCGATATTCTATGAGTAGATGCTTTAGAATAGACACTAGTGATACTGAAAATGTATACTTTGCGTATTGTTTACACTATCTTCGAGGCATTTGGATTGTAAACACGAAAAACGACACATTTTAATGTTTTACGACAGTTACCAGGGCATTTTGCCGCAAATCGTTGAGCTTTGACCTTTAACCCAGTTTCAGTCAACAGTGAAAGTGAAAGTTTTTAGTTTCAGATGCAGCATTCCAAGCTGAGGGTGTGTCTGGACACTTGAGCTCTCAATCTAATCTAAGGTAGGTACAACGCTAGTCAAGAAACATAAAAGAGTCAATGTAGATCACTTAGCCACATTGTTAATCATTGGTTGAATGGCGTGTATGTGATTTCACCAGTTTCGAAGGATTTTGTAGGGTTGTAATTTGAGTAACCGTTACGTAACTAGTTTTCATCAAGGCTCTTTGATACAGACGGTCGAACACAGGACCCGGTTTCTTTACAGAGGCGTCGAGGAGTCTCTTTTCTTGACCCGTACGAAATCAAATGATTTGCCACCCCTGGTAGGAGGGATCCAATCCGGGTTGGTTGGGGGTGGGCCTGGGTGAAGATCATGGTCATAGTACGTAGTACAGTGCGGGTTACAGTACAATATACATGTAGTACAGCAAGGTATATTTTGTCGCCTTCTTGATTCTGCAATTTTCAATTTTTTTTTGTTTCTCCTGGCACAATCGTTCATCTATATTACATGTATTTGCTACAAATTGTCTAATGTTTTTATGTGCTAAATAAAATATGAAAATGACAAGACCAATCACGGCGGTCTGTCACTACGGTATTCTTTCCCATTGCTAGGCGCGTTCTAAAAGGTATCGGGCCGATTTTGGCCTACCAGTAAAACACTTGAAAATAAACAAAAAGGATTTAATGGTAAATTTCGTCAAATCAAAATGAAATTATTGCCTTAACATCCTTTTAATATTAGCTGTTTATGTTAAATCATTGATTTTTCAAAATTTCACTCCAAAAGACGATTTTTTTCGGGTTTCCGACCACAAGTCATGTCATGTTTTTAGGCAAACATCATTTTAACCTGGCTACGTATATTACCCCAGATTCCCGATTTTTATATTTTTTGACGACTAGGAATAAGATCAAAAATCGTGTTTTAGGGATTTTTTAATTTCTGATTTTAAGTCTAGTTTTTGTCGACATATTGGTGAAAAAATGATCTTTTTTTACATTTTTCGCAATAAATTACCTATAATTCAAGATTGAGGCCATTTTTCAAAAATCCCTAAAACACGATTTTCGGGACAACCGTTACGGTCATTTTGAGCCGTGAATGGGGTATGCTTGACTTTCCGTGCTTGCAGGTTAAAACGAGTTTTGCAGACATGTCAAGTCGACCAAAAGTCTGCATTGTGTTATTCGTACTGGCGTAAAGAATCATTACAGTATTCAAGGTCACCCAAGGATACGACAGTAGCTTCGCTACATGTTACATGTCCACAAAAAAATGATAGCGGACATATACTGTCCAGGAAACTGTTTGTATCTATAGAAAAGTGTGTTTTTTTAATCTGTTGCACGGCACAGAGACAGAAGGGCTTGGTTTGCCGCTTTACTGTAAATGACCGCAGGTGACCCCGAAATAGAACGCGGGTTCGATTCGAATTGCCCAGATCGAACACAGTTCGGGTTCTATGGCATGTGGGAACTTTGCAACCCAGATTTTACCACCGTGAATAACAAGTACATGTGCAAGCAAGGAAATGTTAGGATATGCTATGACAGTATGAGTCATGAAGTCACCATATATACCAGGCTGGTTTATAATTAAAACAATAGATTGTTAACTTTTAATGAAACAAATTTGCATTGTTACATTGAAAAACTTTAGCAACTAGGAAGAAAAGGACTTTCTTCAACCATTGGGGCCAAAATATGTCCTTCATTGAGCATTTTGCAGTTGATTTTATAGAACCTAAAAATTTTTTTTTGCAAATCAGAAAAAGATGGACAGGGCGAATCCGAGAAACAAGAAATTAAATCGGTGTGGCCTAAACAATGAATGTTATTCTCAGAGAAGAAGACATGGCGGACTCGGAGGAAGAGCGACTGGTGTCCATCAGCGGTCAGCTGAACACGCTGGTGTCCGAGGGCCGGACAGACGACACCGTCCCCATCCTGTGTGACCTGCGAGATCAGGACATCTCCTTGAGGTCACTCACTCACTGTCCGGTTTATCGTCTGTTGCTCCCCGTTTTCCGAGGGTTAGGCCACAACAAGTAAATTTTATGGATGACATCCTCAGCAGACTCCAAATCTAATGCGAGCGGGCGAAAATAAACAAGTCAGGCTGAAAAAAGCAAGGTCCCTACATTTTAAAATTTTTTACTCAACCATTGTACAAATGGTTTTATTCAGTGGGAACATCACATACACAGCCAGCATCATATATCACTGCATCAAAGTTAGAAACAAAACATTAAATCAGAGCCTTTTCTTGTCTCCATTCTTCATAGTTATCTGCCATCCACCTTCCGGCATGGCAACAGACATCTAATTTGCCCATTTTCGACATGTTGACCACTGTCAGAAGGCAACAAAATTTCTTGTTTTTTTTTCCAAAATCAGGCGAAAATTAATGCGCGCGCTGATGTCATCCATAAAAATTACTTGCTGTGGCCTTAGACGTACTGTACATCTGCAGCTTGATGGCAGCTTGCCACTTGTCTCTGTCCTGTGGGTTGATCTTGTCTGAGTTCAGGTGGTGGAGGTCCTCTGATCCCTTATGTTGTCAAACCATTTCCTCCTAGGGCGACCACGGGGGTTTGGACCCTCCACATCCAGTGTGAGGATCCTCTTTGGCCAATTGTCCCTGTCCATTCTCTAGAGGTGGCCGTACCATCTTAGTCTGTTGTATCTAACAAGGGCTGCGTACCTTTTCGTAACATCAGGTACAGGTACCGGTAGAGGTGTATGTCCAGGTCTGGACCTGTATCTGTACCTGAAAATTCACGCGCGTCACAATGTTCTACAACTGAAATTATTCAATAATGACAGAATTACTTGAATAAAAATAGTGTTGACAATTTGTCCTGTATCTTTCAAAGAACATCAAATATGATGAAACCATGGATGGTATAACTAGCTATAGGTTTCCTATCTCACTTCCTAGATGTCTGTCGGTAACAAAAATCTGGAAAAATATTGTTGCGAAATGAGAGAGATGGAAACTTAAAGGTAAATATCTTTATTTTAACGCTGGATGTTCATTTTCCTGGCAGGCCTCCTTGTGTGTAGTGATCAAGTATGAATTTTTGTTCCGGTCCAAAAAAACTGGTACACCGACGTTTTGGTTTTTAGGACCGGACCGATACTATTTTTTGGTCCGTACCAGTCCACCTGGACTGGTGCGCAGCCCTATATCTAACTGAACTAACATAATCCTTAGGTTGCTGAAGAAGACACAGATTGGCCGGGCGGTGAACAACGTACGCCGCAACAGTAACAACGCGGAAGTCATCGCCCTCGCCAAGAAGATAGTCAACAAATGGAGGAGGTCTGCCGAGTCACAGTATAATTCTGTAGTCTCCGCTACAGGGGAACTGCCTAATTCACAGGTAAGGCAGGGTTCAAAATAACTTTTTCTCGGGTTTTCCCTTTGGCAGCTTGAAGTCACCCAAGGCACTTTACATGTGGTTTACCCCGAAGCCGGTTTCAAGTGGCTCCATCTGAACGCTCCAAATCACTTTGAAAGCGCCTCGATCTCAAACCACTTCTAGAGGTGGTTTCGAATCGGTTTTCCCGCATCGCGATTTGCGTCTGAACGCAATGTGATTTCAATGTAACTTCGCCTGGTCATGGATTACGGGGTGATATTTCTTTATTTATATGCAATACCAACTTTTACGTGGCAGCAACTTAAAGAGCAGTAATGGTCAAATAATGTGTCCGTTCTAGGGCGAGCTTCACCGCCTCTGGCAGGACCACGTCGGCATTCGGCTGAGATACGCTAGAAGGGGGGCACCAGCAAGCAGGTCGTTGACCTCTGACATTAATAACACGCTACCTTGCGTGTTTTCATCAAACAACAATAAATGTAGCTTAAGCAAATTGTGATCGGACACTGTTTGAAAGGATTGTGTGGCACGTGGACCAGATGTGAGGAATGTGAGTTACCCGAATCGCGGTTTTGGTGACTTCACTTAAACACGGCCTTAGAAGGCAAGCCATAAGCCAGGTCACCTGTATGATGGTAGCTTTCACATGCTGGTAGATGCAGAACACAGTTTATTTCAGAAGCCATAACGTACTTTTGAACCGGGCAACCTGGAATCTCGAATAAGTCTCACACAGAAACCATGACTTGCATGGCGAGAGTGCAAGAGTGGGTATTTTGATTCCTGTAAGTTAATGCATTTAGTTAACTAGAAAGGCCAATATTTGCTTTGGAGCAAATACAGCGATGGGTTCACCACATTTAACGACATGGCAGGGAAAGAATGAGAAACACAAGGGAAAACAATGATTTACATTGATATAACTATAATATGAAGTAACATACAACTAAAACAACAGTTGGATAGCTATTCCCTACTTTATTGGTAAGGATTTTTAATTGCATAATGCAAACTGTTGATTTTCAAAATAAAAAAAAAACGTTCATGCCCCGCATTCCAATGCTGGAGCAGGAAAGCTTGAAATACCTACCAAAACACTTGAATAAAGACAGTATGGAAATGCTCTGTGCAGGTGTTAATCAAGTTAAATCCCAACAGCCAATCAGCAAGAAGAATAGAGGAAAGCTGCATGCCTATTGGTTGATGCCCTGCATTCCATTGTGATGACTCATGCCCAAACGTGGTAAACACGGCACACTAACACAGTAATACATTTGCTATAACACAGCCAAAAAACTCAAATAAAACCATTCTAAAAGCCCGTATCACAAAAATTTAAAAAACGCCTAATAATAGGGGTATTTGCCCACTGTACCTCCATACCAAATTTCAGGACCTTAGGCCCTAAAATGAAGAAGCTGAATCCATTTAAAAAATGGCAGGAGAAGACGGAGAAGAAGAAACACCAGAAAAAGCAATATGGGTTCACCACACACCACTTCGTGGTGTGGTGAACCCATAATGATGATTAGGTCTTCATTCATGCAATGATGATATGATAAATAATGACTGTTGTTGAAGTTGATGATTGGGACGTGTAGTTTCTTTTGACTGGTGATCCTTTGGGATTATTGTTTCATACTGTCGGAATACCTTTGAAGTTTCATGATAAGAAGAATACTCGAAAATACCTTGCTGTACTTTGTGATACTGACTACTGGTAACTGAGGGTGTTACCAGTTACCAACACAAGCATTGCAAGCTTAGATCAAGAGGGATAATTTCTATTCTTTTTGCAACTTTTTATAGTTGATATCATGTGCTGTTTTTCTATTCATGCCCGTAGCCAGGGGGGGGTTCGGGGGTTCAGACGAACCCCCCACAAGGCTCTTTTGGGCACTTTTTGGTCCACTTTTTATCTAAAGGTCCAAGATTTTTCTTTAAAAGATGGACTGATTCGTGTCACCAGCGAGGCTGGAATCGTAGGAAAGCTGCTCACTAAGTCTTTGTCATTGAAAAAAGTTATCTCTGATATCTTTGACATCCTCTAAAAAAACGCATCAAATGCCATTTTAGAATTCCCGAGGGAGCATGCGCTAGTAACCCTGCGCCTTCGGCGCTCGCTGGTCCATCAAGCAGTGGGAGGAACCCCCCCATTCAAAATCCTGGCTACGGGCATGCTATTGTTTTGACCTGTATCTGTATCTGTGATAACTTTTTTTGAACATATTTAATTGAGTCTCAGGATATGCCATCATTTACTCCTTTCATCTCCATTGTTCTTTGTAGATGTCTCAAATGACAGAAGAAACTCAGATGTCTCAATCACAACAGACCACAGGATGCCCAATACCCATGGAACATCATCAAATCAAAACGGAAAGAAGAGAGGAGAAAGAAACCGGGCTTACTCAAGATTTTGAATCCCTACTTCCACCATCAAATAGAAGTGCACTGCTGTTACATCCTAAGGACAAAGGAACTGGTCTGGTCTCTACTCAAAACAAAGATGCTGAACAAGAACATGACAGGGAAACATCACAAGAAAGGCAAGACAATCTTCTTTTGCAGCAGACGCAACAGTCCAACAACAGCGAATGTCCAAAACCTGAAAGTTACACAAGAAACAAGACAAGTTTGACAACTGGTCTTGTTGAGGGAATCCGTGCAACAAGTCCCAGAGATGGAGTTATGTCAGGTGAACCTGGTTCTGATCATAACGTTTCACAGCTAACTCACCTGTCAGAGGGACACCAGAGCCAACAGGCAACAGTACATGCGGAGAAAAATAGTGCCAGAGCAGAAGAAGGTCACCCAAGGGCAAACACATCCACCAATAACTGTGTCACAACACAAAACACCAGTGAGAGATCAACCAATACTGTCACAACACAGAACACCTGTGAGAGACCAATGACTGAGATACAGTCTCTCAGGAGAGATGTGTCACAGATTCAGAGGCAGGTTGCTCGGATCGAGTCTGTGCTGACGATGCTGTTCACTCCGCTAAAGCAGAACCTGGACCGTGTCAGCAGCAAACTCAGCGCTTTGGAGCAAAGACAGACAGCTAGAAACTCCCAGAATGCTGTAGCATCTTCCCATGATGCACTTGAAGCTGAGGCCCTAGCATATCCAGACTGGCAGGGTACCACAAGTTTAAGTACTGGGCCCAGTTTTAGATCAAACAGTGCATCCGGTAGCAACACAATGACACATCGTCCCCAAAGTAGTTCCAAACAGTCCTTGTTGCCTCTCAAGGTCAAATCAGAACCAGTGGATCATGGGTATGACCTTGCAACTGCCAATGATGAACTGCCAATTACTCAGGAGACAGGGGGTTCTCCGAGTCAGTTACTCTTGCCACAGATGACTGAAGACGGATGTGGCATAAGATTTGAATCACTCAGTAGTGACACTGAGAAGAACAAGACTGCAGCTTGCCCCAATCCTGGGCCTTCGACAGAACCAGACATCAGTCCAAGAAAGAAGCTAAAACTGGATCATCCGAAGTACTGCAGTCTTCCCTCCTGGATGGCTGGAGGGTCTGTGGGGAAATCTTCAGGTTTTCAAGACAGGTGCAGTTACTGTACTAGTGATGTGGAAGGGTTGAAGGTTGTACGAGGGGAGACCGATTCTGAAGATGATTCTGATCAGGAGGAGGGGGAGCCAGTACTACAACAGTCTCCTCCAGCAGGTACGGTCTTCAATGTTTTACTTTTAGCCTGTTTTAGCTTAAAAATTCTGTTGAAGCCTTGATGACGACCATGATCAGAAAACACATAAATATTTGATCAGTGATCCCACAAACAGAAACACACAGACACAGATGCACGCACGCACGCGCACACACACACACACACACTAATAATGATATATGTACCACATTGATTATGTACACACACACATGATGTACATTTACACATACACACACACCCAAAGTCTGCACACATACATGCACACAATGTTGATTAATATAAGAATATATGCTTAAGTCAGTTATTAAGTTGGTACATTAATTCATTCATTTATCATGTAATTTTTGCCTCATGCATATGGTTTATAAATGGGACTGGGGGCAATTTGCATAACGGTTACTATGGTTATCAGAGAGGCATTTTGTACATTTGTAAATTCCATAAATACATGTAATGAAAGCAAAAGAACTACAATTATGATGACTCTATCATTGTGAATCTTGACAATGTACCTCACTTAAGTTTTTATTCCCACCACAACTACAGTGCGATATTAACCTTTCTCCCTGCTGCCTAAGCCCGTTTAAACCATTATCATATAGCCGGGTGACGTTGACCAATCAGAAGGCTCCATTCCACATTCCTTATGATGCCTTAATGTCACAAATAGAGTCAAAACTGGGTCTTTATTTATCCCAATCCATACATTAAACAACCCAATAATCACCTGCATGACCTCAGGTGACCCAAATAGAACACCACTCTGTTCTAAAAATACCAAAAATAACTTGTGTTCCAATGACCTCGGCTGACTCCCATAAGAATACCTGTTCCCTGCCTTTGACCAGCAGATAGAATACGACCCTCCCCCAGTGACCTCAGGTGACTCCAGGGGGAACTATGTTCTATTTAAGTTTGTATGTGTTATACAGGAATGTGTTACTCTCTACTGTGTAAGTTTGGATAGGCTATATGATAATAGCGTTAATGTCCCGCCCTTTCTCGGTGAATATGGTGTGAAAAAGCCTTGTCAGTTGCTATAACCACCTCATAAAGCCACCTCGTTTGCTGCGCTCACTCAATGGCTTTATTCGGTGATTATAGCAGCGGAAAAGGCTTTATCACACCATATTCACGTCTGGGCGGGTCATTAACCCTTAAATAAAGATCGGAAACCAAATGGCTACTTCGGTGTTCTAGAGGTTAAAACATCTGACTTGTGCCTATCTTTGGGTGTTGGTTTTTTTTTTTGCCTCTTCTTTTTCACATCTCAACTCTTGAGCTAGATGTAATTCTTTGCAGAAAAATTTGCATAATCTATCATGGAATGATCCTGTTCTGCGCAAAAATTTCTAGCTGTCTGTCGCTTTCTCCCTTTCGACATTTCCAGTCCTAGAAACACCAGACAACCCAAGTGCCTCTAACGCTGAAGCAAATTTTGGTGAAAAGGAAACTTTTGATGCACAGGAAGAAAGTCAACCACCTCAAAGAGTTGCTCTTGAGAGTGACTTTCGGCCGGAAAGAGTGAAATGGTGAGTCAAACATTACATATTTGTCAGTCAGAATGATGTGATTTCATTGTCAGGGCACGAAATTCATTTTTGGGAATAGGTGCACTGGTGCACCCAACCTAAAAAATTGGGCGCACAAAAAATATTTTAGGTGCACCATGTAAGATAAAATACAAAACTAAGTAGAATATGTCAGCAAAAGCTATACTAATTATGTTTCATCTCAAGAAAAGTACTATAACAATGATTGTATTATTTTTTCTGACACTCCGATGTTAAGAATATCTAGTAACTTATTACTACACTTTTAACATCTTTACATGTGTTAAACCTAAGAAAATATTTGGGTGCACTGGTGCACCCACAGAAAAAAATTGGGTGCACAGCTCCAAATTTGGTGCACATGTACCCATGTATTTCGAGCCTGATTGACTTTTGTCCATAGATGTTCTGTAGATTCAAGATGGCAAGGTGGTTTTGTGGTTTAGATTCTTGCCTTGGAAATTCTTGTCCAAAATCTGATGAGAAGATAAATTCTAGCAAAAAAGCAACCAACTTGCAATTGTCAGTAAAAAAACAATGAAAAGTTTCTTATGCCTATTAAAAGCTAGACTGACTGTGTAATGTGTGAAGATTTCTGAAAATAAAACATACATGATTGTCAATCATAATCACTTGTCAGAGTACAAAAATTACAAAAGTTTCTAAATGAAGAAAGCCAATTGCAACAAGAGCAACTATGTAATTTATACAGCACATTAAAGACAATTAAATTTACCTAGATGTGTTGCATACAGGATGTAGATGTATCGATTCACCTAATAAGGATTTTGCTACATTTTGTATCCGTCATTCTTTAACAAAATACTTCCTGATTTTCCAGGTTGAGGCAACGCATCAAATTCTCAACTGTCGACCACCTGATCAGTTGTAGTGAGTTGAAAAGTTTGCTCCGTCAGCATTTTGGATACACGAGCGACCAGGAGCTCGGTCACGCTGTGAAAGACGCCTTCCCGGATGTGACTCGGAAAAGAAGACGAGTTAAAGGAAGACTGATGTTCTTCTATGCTGGACTGCAATGGGTGGGGTCTGAAACCCTGTCTGATAATTAGGCCACACCAATTTAATTTCTTGGATAAGGCCACACCAATTTAATTTCTTGGATAAGGCCACACCAATTTAATTTCTTGGTTAACGAATTTTTCTAGAAAAATAATGGAGCGGGCGGGTGAAATAAAAATAAAAATAAAAACAGGCCTAGGCATCCTATTTTGGCCCAAAATGGTACGATAGGAGCCATGAAGTCAACACACCAGGCTGGTTCAAAATTTAAACAATGAATTTTGAACTTTTGATAATACCATTGCATTGAAAGATGGAATGACTGTAACAACTAGGAAGAAAAGGACTGTTTTCAACTGTTCAGGGCAAAATATTAGCATTTTGCACTTGATTCTGAATTTTTATTTTTATTTGCAAATCAGAAAAAAATGAAGTGGGAAAATCCGTTAACCAAGAAATTAAATTGGTGTGGCCTAACGGATTTGCTTGCTTCATTTTTTTCTGATTTGACAAAAAAAAAATTCAAAAATCAACTGCAAAATGCTCATATTTTGCCCTGAACAATTAAAAACAGTGTTGAAAACAGTCCTTTTCTTCCTAGTTGTTACAGTTATTCCATTTTTAAATGCAGTGGTATCATTAAAAGTCAAAAATTGGTTGTTACAATTTTGAACCAGCCTGGTGTGTTGACTTCATGGCTCCTATCATACCATTTTTGGCCATAATAGGATGCCTAGGCCTGTTTTTTTTTCTTTTTCGCCCGCCCACTTCATTATTTTTCTAGAAAAATCTGTTAACCAAGAAATTAAATTGGTGTGGGCTTAGCCATAGTTACAAAATGTACATTCATGTTTTATACTAACTGACATATGGTACATGTGACCTGCATATAGAGAAGAGAATACTGTTGAATTGTAATATAATATATGTTTTGAATTGTATTATAATATATGTTCTGATACTCAATGTTTAGGCTACACCAATTTAATTTGTTGGTTCTCGGATTTGCCTCTTAATTTTTCTCTGATTTGCAAAAAAAAAAAGATTCTGGTTCTCAAATATGTCCATATTTTGCCCCCAACAGTTGAGGAAAGTCCTTTTCTTCCTACTTGTTACATTTTTTCCGTCAATACAGTATTTTGATTAAAAGTTTATTTTTTGTTTAAATATTAACCCAGCCTTTTGTATACTGACTTCATGATAATAGGATGATCAGGGTTTTTATTTTTATTTTTTTTTTCGCCCTGTCACTTCAGATTTTTTCTGAAAAAATCCAAGAAACAACAAATTAAATTGGTGTGGCCTTAGATAATGTCATATGAAAACTTGAGGGGTGTAGATGAATAAGGATTCACTCTTCACACAACCAACAGGTTTATTCAGCTGATGTTTTGGTGACTTTCACCTTCCTCAGGGCAGTTCTGACAGGTTCACATATTATGCAGGTGTCACCAGCACCGCAATACATGTAGATGCATTCCCAAACACACTACTTCTACACTGTTACAGGGAACAGTATCAACAATGCTGTCCCAAACGTACATGAGAGTTATATATAAATTAAGAACTTCAAGATTTCTTACATTTGTAGATGATAGAAATGTTACCCTCTATTCAGATAATCTTGTACACTATTTCTATGTCATGTTAATGTTAATGTTAATGTCATGTTCTTTGACAGTTATTAACAGAATGAATAATTGTTCATAGGAAATAAAAAAAAAACTAACCATAGTGACTCTTGTGTTTTGTTACAATTTACATATATTTACATGTATTAATTTATGTCCTTTTTAAAACTCATATCTATTATCAGAATGAATAATTGTGCATATTAGGAAATAATAAAAAAATCTAACCATGATGACTCTTGTGTTTTGTCGTAATTTTGCACTTTGTAAGGAATAGGACTGTCTAGTACTGATTCTCATCAAAAGACAACAACTGTTTTTAGCCAGCCGAAACAATTAGCGATAAAAAGTAAAATATCCACAATCATGAGTCATTTATTTAATTGCTTTAATTTCAGTGTAAGTTAGCAGCTGATAAGTTTCTCTGAATAATAACAACAATAATTATTGTCCATATATTAGGGGACAATTCTCTGTGAAATTTATATTTTGCAGAATTGAGAACAGTATAGAGAACATGTAACTATGTAATTAATAAATGAATAAAAAACGTATCATAAAAATGGCAATGCACCACAAGTACATCATGTACCTACATGTATATACCTATTATAATGATTTGTTTCATTGCCAATAAATGTGAAATACAAAGTGTGATGAGAGTTACCAGCAGTACTATATTATTGACCACATATTAAGTTATAGTACTATAGGAGCTGTGACTACATTACATACAAAACTTTCCTTACCAAATAATGCTGTAACAGTTCACGTTTATGCTAAGGCCATACCAATTTAATTTGTTGCTTCTCGGATTGCCGTGTCCATTTCTAAATTAACTGCAAAATGCTCAATGAAAGACATACAATGTCATGTATTTTGGCCCCAACTGTTGAAAAAAGTTCTTTTCTTCCTAGTTCTTCAGTTGTAGCATTGCAATTTCGTTTCATTAAAAGTTCAAAATCTATTGTTTTAATTATGAACCAGCCTGGTATGTTAACTTCATGGATCATATTGTAACATTTCCAGCTATCATGGGGTGCCTTGGCCTGTTTTTTTTCGCCCTGTCGCTCCTGATTTTTTCTGGAAAAATCTGAGAAGCAACAAATTAAAATGGTGTGGCCTAAAGAGCAAGAATTCAGAGTCACTTGAAGAACTTGGTCTCCCCCCAGAGTTTAAGAAGCCAACAGTGATCACACCTGTGAAGATCACACCTGTGAAGAACGTGGTGAGAGGCCCATCACAGGATGAACCACTTCAGGAGTTTGCCTGCTTCACTCAGGTCAAGATGCTAGACGTTTTTTGTCCTTTTTTCCATTGACAATTAATGACAATGACAATGAACTTTATTATTCGTGCCCTACACGGGCCAAATGCACTTAAGTTAAATAACATGGGTACAAGAATAGAATAAGCAATTATTACATTTGTGTGCTACGTCTCTATCTACAGGATCTAACTACAGGATGTCTTCTCTCTTTTTGAAACATGTTTGAATAAATTTACATAGTTTTTCATTTACATCGTAGTGCTTTGATGTCATATTAATATGTTTGAACAATTCTATTTTTTGGCAAGTATGCATATTTCTTTTCTGACTGTAAGAATTCATCTGCGTAGAAAAGGCTACATAATATACAATGTTGTTTATGATTATCAGAACCTGCCTGTACCATTTTTAATTTTAATGATTTAAATATTAATTTCTCCTAGTGGTAGCCTTTGATGATTAAAACATATTGCAAGAAGTGTGATAAGGGTTTAGCCTTTACCAGGCTTACGAAGTGGCCAAAAAGAGTAGAAATTGACCAAATAGATACTATATAACATGCCAGAGGAGTTGGACTACATTTTGCTGCTAAAAAATAGAGTACATTTTCTGCTCCAAAGGAGATTTGCTGCAGCTCCAATTTGTAGTCCAAAATGTACTTCTTTAGCAGACCAAGTACACAGACATGTTAGGCCACACCAATTTAATTTATTGGTTAACGGATTTTTCTAGAAAAATAATGGAGTGGGCGGGCAGAAAAAAAAATTTTAAAAAATTTAAAAAATTCCTATTATGGCCCAAAATGGTACGATAGGAGCCATGAAGTCAACACACCAGGCTGGTTCAAAATTTAAACAATGAATTTTGAACTTTCAATGATACCATTGCATTGATAGATGGAATAACTGTAACAACTAGGATGAACAGGACTGTTTTCAACTGTTCAGGACAAAATATGAGAATATTGCTGTTGATTCTGAATTTTTATTATTTTTTTTTGCAAATCAGAAAAAAAATGAAGCGGGCGAATCCGTTAACCAAGAAATCAAATTCGTGTGGTCTTATGATCTGTCTAGTTGGCCTATTTCCACTTCTGAAGCCTGGAAGTGGCTAATTCAGATCATGAATGTCAATAATGGCTGTCCTGTCTATTTTATTATGTATGGCTGTTCCAGGTTGTGGACTCCATGGAGGACACACAGGAATGTACTGAGGAGGAAGCCAGGCTGCTGAGGGAAGGGAAAGGGAAGCTGAGGAAAGGTAGATTTCAATACATTTATAGTATTAAATGTACTATTAACAATTTTATAATTGATGTGTAATGCTTTTAAATGAATGTTACAATGTTATAATTGATGTGTAATGCTTTTAAATGAATGTTACAATGTTATAATTGATGTGTAATGCTTTTAAATGAATGTCACAATTGACGACATTTAGCCTGGTGCTGCTAAGTCGGTTGAAAATAAACTATTTGATTGATTTATTGAATGATTGATTTGGTTGATTGATTGATTGCTTGATTGATTGATTGATTGATCATTATAATAGTGCAATGTATGTGTAGTTAACTGTTAAATTTTGATTCAGAAATATTGATTTGGAACATTTTAATTCTACTTCTTAAGTCTTTTTCTTTGTCTTATCAGTTTAAAACTCTATGATATAAATAATACAATGTACATGTAGCTTTAAACTATAGTTACGTTTGACATGTTTTAAATCAGGAAATGATCTCAGAAGCTAGCTTTCCAACACCATTTCACCCAACCTACATGTATGTGCAAGTAATACAAGGTACAATTTTAATGTACTGCTCACTTGCGCCCCCTGTAGACTGGAACCAGCAGTGCAAGAAAAGGACCGGCACACCTTACTCTGCCCTTGGGAAGAACCAAGGTCGTGGACAGCTGAAGGCTATTCATGATGTGGAGGTAATAAAAGTCTGTGTGTTTTTGCATCAAGGGAAAGGAATCTTATTCTCGGTTGGGTTAAGGTGGCCTAGGCTTGTGAGAAAGTACAAAAAATGTTACATATGCCTGTAACTTTTGAAACACATTGAATAAAAAATAAGGGTGCTTCAGTTTTTCTTCACCTGGATTTTGGGTAAAGATCAATTATGTTGTTTTCAGCTGCGTGTAAAGCCATTTAAGTAATAGTCCGTGAATAAAATGCATAACGACGCGGGTTTAGAGAGGAAACATACAAATGACCGCCGGTAACCCCGAATTCGAACACACATTCTATTTGAATGACGTCATATCGAACATGGTGGAACATGATTCGGGTTCGAAACATGTTTGTGGTCATCGTGCAGACACACGCCCGAACTCAAACATGAATATCAGCCTAGACCGCCTTAACCCAACCGAGTTTCAATTGTTTTCAAAAACAACAAAACACAGTCATGTTTATAGGATAAGTCGCATGATAGCAATTTTCTCATTACAGTCACTGTGGTAAATTAATACTCTTCGCGGCATGCAAATGAAGAATCTCTATTGTAATCTACAGTAGTGCTCCTTTTAAGTTTTTTTTTCTTCCGAAGGCCACACAGACTTAATTTTATGGATCCTCTGAAGACCCTCAACCCAAACTAGTGCGCGAAGGCGAAAAAAAATCCGGCCAAAAATAAAAATGTTACTAAACCACAGGAATACAAAGCTGCATTTAACGTATACAACAAGCCGGCACATGCTGGCTTTTTGGAGAATTTATGATTCGGCACTGTATGTATGTACTGAGTTCTTGAGTCGTGGAGCTTTGGCAGCCTGGGTGCTATCCTCCAGAGTTACCAAAGGCTCCGTATTGTCGCTAACTACCATGAACTACCCAGGCCTAGAGCCAGGCCAGAGCCTCGGAGGACGTAATTTTTTATTTTTTATTGAGAACAGGCGAAAATCAATGCACGCGCAGATGTCATCCATAAGATTTAGTCGGTGTGGCCTAACATTATAAACTCTTAGACTAATATTAGTACACATATAGGTGTTACAGGTTGTCCTGAATTATCCCTGTATTTTCCAGGTTGGGAAGGAAGCCATCAAGAAAGTTCTCTTCAAGAAATTCAAGAAAAACAGCCAGACACAGCCTTCAGATGGGGATCCTTCATAGTGTTAATATCATTTGTACATGTATCTTAAACAAAATGTTTTCTATGGAATAACCAAGTGTTATATTGAATCTGTAAGTATTATTAGTCTAAAAATGCTTTCACCGGGTATTTGCTAATGACGCTAAATGGAGTAAATGTATAATGTACATGTACTTGAAGCATACGCTGCTACATGTAGGTATAGTGACAACTTGGCATGAATTCAATTATTGAAAGTAAAAAAAAACGTTTATCTTTTTGAGACAATAAAATATGAATAAGTGATAATAGAATGCATATGAAATAAAAATGATGAAAGGATCTTTTGTCTAAAAAGTAAAATATGTTTATTTAATAAGACATGCACTATATGTAATATCTATGGCAAATATAAACATCTTGGAACGTGTTCAAAAAAATCTTTCAATCTTATACTATAAACATAACATACTAATACTACATGCAAGAATATCAACAGCTGCCTGAGATATATTCATGCACATAATTCAACAATTCAGTTGGATTTCCATTCAATATGAAGTCAATGACTATCAATCTACATGACAGTGTCTGTATTAGATATACAAAGTTGGAAGAGGATGTACATGGAGATCTAAGATAATGAAATACAAATTGATTTTTAAGATTATGCTATTTAAGTGTATGCATGTGTAAGTTAGTGTTTTCCCAGTTCTGTATCATTTCATTGACTTAAAATATTCAACACTTTACATGTTATTTAATATTTGGTAAATATGGCTTGATCATACTGTCTGTGGGTGAACTAATATTTTATAGTTCTGGGTGGCTTTTGATATTAAATATTTTGACGTATCAAAATCACTTCATGAATAATCCTTGTGCTACAATTGAAATTTTGACATGATTACTTTATTAGGTGTATAATACTGCATAGAACTATGCCTGGAGGTAGGCATCAATGGTCGTGGTGTACAGTAAAAGAAGGATTTTAAACCTCCTTAGTGTGACTGGACTAATTGTTTCATGAAATAAAACTGGCTGTTACCATATGTTACACTGAGGGTTGGTTATACTGGCTATACAACACAATATATTATATATCATGTCAGGCTGCTTTCAATTCTCCCTCCTTCTGCTAGGGTGCACAATTAACTTGGTCAGGCTGCTTTTTCAACCCCCCCAACTAGACTGGACCGCTTTTTCCACCAACCCATGTACTATAGACAGGTGCACAGTTCAAACTTCAAACATTCGATGTTTTTGTCTCATCTCACTAATATAGGAAGACACTGCTTTCATCTTATGAAGTTATGACTAATAGCTATAATTATAATATAATAAAAGTATCAGATTCTATATATGACAACAGAGTCACTTAAATAATACATACAATATAGGCAAACAATGAAAAAGAAAATTGATACAGAAACATCTAGATATACAATCTTTATAGGTACCAATCCCCCAAATCTTTCATATTTTTCGGTAATATTAAAAAAAAATACCTGTGATTTAATAATAACCTGTGATAATAAAACATATAACGTTACCCTATGTGCTATATAAATTTATTATAGTAGATACCTAATGTACTCTCCACTGTCTTATACTAAGGCCAATAGGTTCATGAAAACCATACATTACTGTCAATAACAGTCAAATCGTATATTGGATACATGATATTATTCAATGGGAAATTTGGTTGCTGAAGTCTGGCATATAGCCTGTGTTACACAGGCTCTCGGCCGGAGGTTACTTCGGGGCGGCCGGCCACCAGGAGCGCGATTAGTCAGGCTAAAGCCTGGCATAACTGGCAACAGAAATGTACATTCTTTTATAAAGTCTATTAAATATTGGATGCACCACCTACATGTATGAAATTCCATAAGGCCACACAGATTTCATATTCTGGATGACAATTCGTATGATACCAGCCACTCTACTACAAATTGTATGATCCCTCAAAAAATTCACTACTCGATGAACAATGATATGTGCGTCTGGACTGTTTACACCCTGAAAAATCATCAATTCACTGCAAATTCTTCATATTAGGTAACATTAGCACAAGATATACAATTTAATAAATATATGTAACCAACAGATATTATGCACTATCAAAACAAAAAACGACTTAAAACTGAGTACAGTATACATGTCTTACATTCTAAGTTAATTTTTTTCATCCTTATAGTCCACACCAATTTAATTTCTTGGTTGACGGATTTTTCTAGATAAATAATGAAGTGGGCGGGCGAAAAAAAAACAGGCCTAGGCATCCTATTATGGCCCATAATGGTACGATAGGAGCCATGAAGTCAACACATCAGGCTGGTTCAAAATTCAAACAATGAATTTTGAACTTTTAATGATACCACTGCATTGAAAGATGGAATAACTGTAACAACTTGGAAGAAAAGGACTGTTTTCAGCTGTTCAAGGCAAAATATGAGCATTTTGCAGTTGACTTTTTTTTTTGCAAATCAGAAAAAAATGAAGCGGGCCGAATCCGTTAACCAAGAAATTAATTTGGTGTGGGCTTACATCAGGTTTTTATAACTATAAAGAGAGGATACTGTCCAACATGTGTTTTGTATGCAAGGATGCAGACCTACTCTTCCTTGTCCTTTTTCTTGTGTTTGAGTTCCTCTCCTCTCAGGACCATTTTGACCTCCTCAGCAGACAGACTGTGGTGTTCCAGCAGGGCCAGGGCCAGTCTCTCATGTTCCACTCGGTAAAGCCGCAGCATCCGTGATGCTCTGTCATAGGACTCCTGAAGGCACAGGTACAATACATGGTGGTAAACAAAAAAGAAAGCTAGTCAGTCAGATGTGTATCTACATCGTACCTACTATAGGTTTCTTTTAAACATATATATTCTTGGTTTAAAACCACACCACAAACTAAAAATCACAAATATTTATTTTATTAAAATCCATCAGAAATTACCCTGCTCACGTCAACCTTCGATGTCCACAGGAATACAATGTACTAACCAGAAATTGGAGGTTTCCTACCCCTGTGAAATATTTAGAGCTTTTGTGAATTTCTTGTTCTATTCATTGATGAATTCATTAAATGTGAAGTCCTCTACGTTTTTTTCCCCCTTCCATGCAGCATCCTCGTGGCCAGCTTCTGGGACCTAACTTCCAGTGTCTGACCTTTTGTAGTCTTAAGTTATTGATCAGAATTAACCCCATCCACATGCTGTCACTCACTGTACGGACACACAAGCAAGCAAACCAACAAACAAACAAAACAAAACCTCCATTTTCACAAACTTTAAGATAAAACTTGATACTGTCCTTGGTGCTGAATGTATTTCAACTGAAGATTTCTTTTGTTAGAAGAAGAGTAACCTCTAATGCCTTCTTGCAAATAAACCATTTTATTTATTAGTTTTTTTGAGCATCCCCAGGCCACACCAAATTTATTTGTTGGTTCTTGGATTTTTTCAGAAAAAATATTAAGCAACAGGGTACAAAAAAAAATAATAATAAAAACAGGTCTAGGCATCCTATCTTAGGAAGCCCCAAATGCAATGATAGGAGCCACGAAGTCAACAAAAAAGGCTGGGTTAATATTTAAACAATGAAATAAATTTACTTTGAATCAAACTACTGCATTGATACATGGAAAAACTGTAACAACTACAAAGAAAAGGACTTTCCTCAACAGTTGGAGGCAAAATATAAGCATTTAAGAGCTAATTCAGAACCAGAATCTTTTTTTTTTTTGCAAATCAGAAAAAAACTAGAGAAGTAACATTTGCAAAGCGAACACATAATGTTTACCTTCGGACATGGTCTGCTCTTATTAATTCTTACTCAAACACATTCACATACATGTACTACTAGTATATGGTGACAGGAGCAGAGCAGACCATGAAATTGCAACATTATGTAACCCAACACCAGTCACCATGGTGACAGACGTCAACAAATCATGTCATTGATCAGATCTAGACTCCACCCACCTGCAGTAGTTTCCTGACCTCCTGCTCTACTGTCTGTCTGGTCTCAGGTGTGGCCGCCATGGTGCCGAACGGTCCTCCAACCAACACCTGCAGGCCAAGCTAACAAACAAACAAACAAATAAACAACTTGTTTAGAGTTAAAACTTTCGATCCAACACAAAAAATTATCTCACATAGAGCTTTCGACCAGTCACACTGTAGACTGACCCAGTGAAGCTTGTCATGTGGCTTCTTTGAAGTGCGACGTCAACACTGGGTCAAAGGTATCTGGTAGACGATGTCAGCCCCCGTCGCGGTCCAGTGAAGGGTGATGGGCCCTAATGTACTTAGTATATTGCCTCCTTCACCCCTCTCAGGAAATAATCTTGTTCAGTGTCTAAAATCCTTACAGTGTCATTAGTGAAACAAAGTGTCCGGGTGGCTCTATGTGGATGTGTTGTGACACTTCTGAACTGGCTGAGCTTGACCATGTATGTTCAAACATGTAACTACCAACACAGATGAACTTTGATGATAAATAAACAACAGTTTATCAACTGCTGAGGATGGATTTTTTGTAGCTTACTAACATACTAGTACCCTATGTTAAATTCTGATTAAAAGTGGAGTTTGGAGTCCAGACATATAACAATCCCAAATCAAATTTCAAACTTAATTTGTAGTCATATGTGTATAATGTGTGTTTATTTGTACTGTGTGTGTAATGTGGAATGAGCGCTGGAAGATTAGCCCTAACGGGCTAAAGGGTATCATAATAAACTGAAACTTAAACCATTGCAAGAAAGTAATTCTTCAGACAAGAAAATCAAGATTATTTAGCTTAATTTTCTAGAACATTCTAAGCAGAGGAAGACTTCTCTGGAGATCATTTCTTCACTTAAGAAAAACAAGAAAATATTTTTTGTAGTGAAAATGTACAAGAAAAGAATTTTTGAACTTTCTCTTACTCTTTTCTTATTTCTTCTTAATTTTTCTTGAAATTTCTTCATGCAAGAAAATTTGTCTACAAATTAAGAAAAACAAGAAAAACCATTTTTGGTAGTGTATTAGCCAGGAAAATATGTCAGTTACTTTTGATTTGTCTGAAAATAGAAATTATGGAAAGAAACTCACCTTTTTGCTCATGCCATACTCAGTCACCATGCAGCTGGCAACATTATTGGCCATACGGAGGTCCATACTGGCACCTGATGGAAATATCACACATCATCTTACACAACTGACTTTTATGTTTGGCAAATTAATAGTTACTTCTGAGCTGTGGGCTTGTGTTCTACCTCCATATGGTGTGTCCAGACAGAGTAGTATACAGGGCTCAAAATTCATTTTTGGAAATAGGTGCAATGGTGCACTAAACATTTTTTGGGTGCACCATATATAATAAAACCTAATTACAGATCTTACTGCTCATCTTCTAGAATTTGAAAAGGGAGATTACTTCAAAATCTAAAAGAAGTACTTCAAAAAAGATTTCATCATTTTTTTGACACTTAGATGCCATATGACTGTATACTATTAAACAGTTAATATGTAAAAAAATGCCTACAAAAATATTGAAAAAAAATGGGTGCACAGCTCGAATTTTGGGTGCACTAAGGTGCACATGCACCCAGTATTTTGAGCCCTGGTATATATAGGTTGACAGCATGTGGGTGGGGGGAGTTTGACAGATAGAATGACAGAAGGTCAAAGGGATCAGAATCTTACTGGGAGCCAGCAGAAATAAGGGGTTGGCATGGGGGAATTCAGGAAGCTAAGCATACTGGAAGCATACTTCCCAGAACTCTGAAATCTCTGATTTTTCTTTAAATATCTCTAAGGCCACACCAATTTAATTTGTTGCTTCTTGGATTGCCTTTGGGGGTTCTAAAATTGGGGGGGGGGGTCTAAAGTAACTGCAAAATGCTCAATGAAAGACATTTTGGCCCAAACGGTTGAAAAAAAGTCCCTTTCTTCCTGTTTCTTGAAGTTTTTCAATGTAACAAAATGCAATTTCATTAGTAGACTAACAATGCAATTTTGTTTCATTAAAAGTTCAAAATCTATTGTTTTCATTATAAACCAGCCTGGTATGTTCACTTCATGGCTCATATTGTAACATTTCTGGCTATCATGGTGTGCCTTGGCCTGTTTTTGTTTTTTTATTTCACCCTGTCGCTTCATATTTTTTCTGAAAAAATCCGAGAAACAACAAATTAAATTGGTGTGGCCTAATAGACAATTTTTTGTTACAAAAAATTCCTTTGCCACATATTTGTTGAATCAAGGACTGTCCCTGGTAGAATGAAGCCACTTGAAACATACTTAACTGCTACAATGTGTGTGTGTAACTTGAAAACAAACTTGAAAACACTGCCTGCCTTTTGTGATGTTATCAGGGCCAAAGACCATCTCCTCTGCCACCCTGCCTGCCATGGCGATGTCCATCTGAGCCAGCAGCTGGGATTTAGTCTGCAGCATCAACCACTTACTGCGGGGGAACTGGAATGATACCTAGTACACAGAACAAAACAAACCATTACTGCACAGAACAAAACAAAAAACGTTACTGCTGGGGAATTCATTAACTGGAACTACACCTAGGCCTGCACACATCTGTAACGGAACACAACAAAACTTCAGAAAAAAATGGAGGAAATATCACTTTAAGGGAACTGCTATAAATGCTACATGCATATGTAAACTTCTTTCTATTATATTAAAGATTGATCTTATTCTACTGTTTGACGATAGATTGGCAATTTAGCAATGGTGCAAAGAACAGTAACTGTAACTATAAGGATGGCAGAGTACCCAAAAGTCTGTAAGCTAAGATTAGGTCACACCAATTTAGTTTGTTGCTTCTCAGATTTTTTTCAGAAGAAATATGAAGCGACAGGGCGAAAAAAAAAACAGGCCAAGGCACCCCATGATAGCCGGAAATGTTACGATATGAGCCATAAGGGACCGTACGATATATAGGGGGGTGGAGGGCCGGTCGTCTGAGGGTCGAGTTAAAAATTTTTTCCTTGACCCTCCCCCCAGCTCAAAATTTTTTTCCTTGACCCTCCCCCTGACGTCAATAATATACATTGGAAGAAAAAAATTACGTTTACACGTCCAATGGCCGGAAGACGTTCCCGCCCGGAGTGTAGAGGACGTCCAAACAATATATTAATTACATGTACTAGTATATTTTATAGCACTGCATTGGTCATTTTGGGGGGAGGACACCTCGAAAAAAATAAATTTGACGTCCTCAACAACGCTATGCACCGCACTTTGAGAGGCAGAATTTGCCGAGAGAACGGGAGAGATGGGGCCGGAAATTTTGCAAGCCGCCCACGGTGAGGCCGGAGAAATTGTCACTTTTTTGTTACCTCAAAAAGTACCAGAGTTGACTCCGCTGAAATTTTATCAATGTAACGTTACTTATAAGTATTCCAAAACATTGTACCCGCCTATAACAGCCATATGCAGATGTTGCAAAGGGCGACGTCAGAGACAGAGGCGGCAGCAGGAAATCTTGACGGGGGGGGGAGGGGCGAGATTTGTATGGAACCCACTATCGTCTCGAGCGCCGAAGGCTAGGGGGGATTTGAGATTTTAACCCCCTGAAACGTGTTTTCCTGCATTTTCGGTGGGAAATTTTGCTGCTACACGAAGCTAGATTTCTAGTACTTTGTAGCTAAGTTTCAATTACTCGCTATTCAACTGCATGACGACCACGAACTTCTTCCACAATACACAACGGGGATCGGGGCTTGCTCCCCGGGAAAATTTTAAAATCTTGACCCTCTGGAAACGCCATTTCCTGTATTTTAGGAACACATTTTTGCTGGTACACAATTCTGAGTTTGATATCGCTATCCGTTATCCGACCAAGTGTCTGTGGCAAAAATAAGGCGTCCAAAGACGCATGCCTGGTGGGGACGTATTTTGACACACTGGCGGCACCTAATTCAGTGAGCCGCGGATGCTACGATACGTCCAAAAGACGTAGATCGTGTTTGGGGCATTTTCCTCCGGAAAAATTAATTTGTAGGTCACCAAAAACGTTATTTCCCGCACTTTGAGAGGCAAATTTTGGTGAGAGAACGTCTGAAGTTATTTTGGATCTGCAGAAAAATATTTTACCATGACCCTCCCCCCAGGCCCAAAAATTTTTCCTTGACCCCCCCCCCCATCATGCAGTCCCTAAAGTCAACATACCAGGCTGGTTTATAATTAAAACATTAGATTTTGAACTTTTAATGAAAAACAATTGCATTGTTACATTGAAAAACTTTAATAACTTAAGGAAGAAGAGGACTTTCTTCAACTATTCCAGCCAAAATATGTCTTTTATTGTGCATTTTGCAGCTGATTTAGAACCTAAAAAATCTTTTTTTTTCTTTGCAAAATTCAGAAAAAAATGGACAGGGTGAATCCGAGAAAGCAACAAATTAAAGTGCTGTGGCCTAAGCTTAAGACAAAGTTTTGAGAACTCACATGGCCCAGTGCTGGTCCCCAGGACTTGACAGAGGCTTTCTTGATGGGCGGGGCATCTGTGGTGTAGTAGGCCACCAGGGCGTGGCCTGCCTCGTGATAGGCTGTGATCCTCTTGTTCCTGTCCCACAATGCCTTCATCTGAGGGTCTAGTGTGGCACAAAATTTATTTAGTTAGGTCAAAAATTGAAAGTGATCTCCACTGGTCGTGACAGAGAAGACAGACGCTACGTACAGTATTTACAGGTTCATTGTGAACAAGCACAATGAACAGTGCACCATGGCTTAATGTCCTGTCCGAAGGACTGTGACCCTAAACAGTAGCGTGCGAACGACATCAGCCGGGATTCGAACTCCCAACCTCTTAGTCCAGTGGCAGGATCACTAACCACTGGACTACGCAAGCTACATGAATTTGAATATATGACCATCATTTACCTGATTTGTCTGGAGAAGAAGAAACAGAAGAGCAAAATAATATGTTTTCCTTCTGCTAAGGCCACACCAATTTAATTTGTTGTTTCTCAGATTTTTTCAGGAAAAATATGAAGCGACGGGGCTAAAAAAAAACAGGCCAAGGCACCCCATGATAGCCGGAAATGTTATGATAAGTCAGTACCAGTCTGGTTTATAATTAAAACAAATTAGATTTTGAACTTTTAATGAAACAAAGTTGCATTGTTACATTGTAAAAACTTTAACAACTAGGAAGAAAAGGACTTTTTCAACCATTGGGGTCAAAATATGTCTTTCATTGAGCATTTTGCAGTTGATTTAGAACCTAAAAAAATTTTTTTTTTGCAAATCAGAAAAAAAAGGACAGGGCGAATCCAAGAAACAACAAATTAAATTGGTGCGGCCTAAACATAAAAATCATGAGCAGAGTATATTGACTGACCTTCCTGTATTTTTGTCTCCCATCTGTCCCCCATGATTCTGCCCGCCCCTCCCACTACAGCAATACCAGCAGCCAGGATCACCAGCCGCTTCAACCGACGCTGCCACCTCCCCGGACGAACTGAAGAAAAAAACAGTGAACAGGAAATGCTGATACACAATCATGTAATAATCAATTATTATGAATCGAGTTTTAACTGTAATTTCCAACACAAGAAAAATTGACTCACCCAAATTTTTGACTGTACAACTCAAGGAACGAGCAACCGCTTCCGTGACGCCACGCAGATAACACACGTGACTCCGTGAGCAGTGGATCATAGGTTGCAGAAAGTCTGTGGCGACCCCCGTCTCTGTTGAGGGATGGTTGTAATGCCCTGATGTAGATGGCCTCTTTAATCCCTCGTGCAAAGAAGTCTGGTTCTGTGTCCAAGATTCTTAGAGCTGGGGGGCGTCACAGACTTTCTGCAACCTATGATCGACTGCTTAGGGAGTCACGTGTGTTATCTGTGTGACGTCACGGAAGCGGTGGATTGCTCATTCCTTGACAAAGACTGGAGTTGTACAGTCGAAAATTTGGGTGAGTCCAATTTCTGTTGTGTTGGACATTACATTTTAAACACGTTCAAAATGTTCTATTGGACATTTGGAAGCCTGGGCTGTACGCGTAAAGAACCCCTGGGACGTACCGCTTAAGTTATCACACGGGTCGGAACACCCATATCGAACGTAATCGCGGCCCAGGTATGACATAAAATTTCTAGTCAGTTCAGAAAACTATCAACTCACCTACTATATCTATTTTGTGCTTCTCCCCACCAACTGTGTACACAATGGAGTATTCACCAGGCTTGGGGACGGACTTCTGTCCTGCTTCCTGTAAAAGGTTACAAAACATGTTATTGAATAATATCATATCATATATCATAGCGCGTTCAGCTCACACCCAAGAGGTTGAGGGTTTGAATCCTACCCATGTCACCGATCTTGTGCCCTTGGGAAAGACACTTTACACGACTTTCCTCACTTCACTCAAATGAAAATGAGTACCTAGCTTCGGTTAGGGACGTCCCTCGGATAGGACGTTAAATGGAGGTCCCGTGTTTGGGGAGAGCCACACCCCACGTTAAAGAATCCACCGCGATTATAAAAAAGAGTAGGGGACCTTCCCGGTGTGAGTGGTTCAAATGGGTCTTACGCACCAGGTACATGTACGGACATGTACAAAACTGGTGTGTTACACCTAGAGGCCGTTTACTGGTTATGCGAACAAACAAACATTATTCATATCATATTATAATTATATGTTTATTATCAAGAATTACCACATTGTGGAAAGAGCGATATAGCATTAGTAATTTGTAATTATCACCGGGCCTTTTCAAGATGTCAACCCTGAGGCCAGACAGGTAGGTTTGGAACCACTAGAGGGACCTAGCTTTGCTCTTCCATTGACGGGTTGTTTAAAAGTAATTGTTGTAATGTGCCATACCTTAATACCTTTCGGAGTCTCCACCACTATCTTCTCTGTAGCCTGTTTAGCCTCGTCTGCCAGGCCTCTTGTCATCCTGTGACGTACCATGTGGGAGACTGCAGGAGAGCCTGCTAGCCTCTAAACACAGTGGGCAATAAACAATAGTTGTGATCAATGAAAACAACATAATACAGTAACCATGTAACAGTGGGGGGGTTTATAGGTGCTACCAACTGACCCGGCCGATGGGTCTAGACCTTTTAGCCAAATCATTAGAGCGTCGGCATGTGGACTGGTGCCTGGGTTTGGTCGTGGGTTTGAACCCCGGCCTGGGACCAGGGGTTTTTATCTGTTTCTACTCACTCCTCTTAACTCTTACAGTGGTTCCCACGTACACCGGCCCTGGGAGTTCTGGCAAAGAGTGCCGCTCCAGGGATGTCGAATTCGGAAGATTCGAGGAAGAATCTTGAAAAGAAAAGGGGAAGTAGTGTAACAGTGGGGGGTTTATAGGCGCTACCAACTAACCCGGCCGATGGGTCTAGACCTTTTAGCCAAATCGTTAGATTGTGGATTGGTGACCAGGTTTGGTCGTGGGTTCAAACCCATGGATTTTATCTGTTTCTACTGGCTACTCCTGTTTCATACAACGCTAAGAACTTACGACAATGTAAACACGGCACATCAGTGACACGTACAAAACATAATACCGACATAGCTTGTTGGAGGTCATGCGAAGAAAAGTAAATAAGTGACCCTCACCTGAAAGCTCCGGACAGCAAGCATGACTCCGGATTTTGTAGTCTTCTTATATCCCTGACACCTTAAATGCAGAAACCTAAAAGATAAAATCACAACAAGTTTAAGGACTGTAGCCTCCGTAGCAGGCTTTATTGGGGGTTTGGTGGTCTTCGGTTGTTTTCTGAATAGCCTAGTTCTAAAAAAAACGGGGGTAATTCAACCAAGCCGGCTATGTTGTCTATTTGCAATCAGAAAATAGCACATAAAAGCTCCAAAAGACCCTGAACGACCCCCCCCCCCCAAAACCTCCTGTTTTTGCATCAAAACACCATGTACCAACGAAGAAAATATCACTTCCGGGTTTCATTCTCTAAGGCTTTTAAGCCAAATTTAGGCAAGAATATCCAGAAAATATCACTTACTGTTCGATTTCTCAACTTCTTCAGCCCCACGATCTTCTCTTTTATAGAATCAGACCGGATGTGACACCGTTAGATGAGGTATTACATGACATAACGTGACTGTTTCATCACAAATACACGCACACCTTAATTTTGTAATTTTGGGTCAGTCTCCAAATTTGTGCATGACGTCACGGGCCAAAGGTAAAATCTTGATCCCAGAGCAGTTTGCTGTTGTCCCTGAGAACGAGAACCTATTGACCGTCACCAGTGGTACTAGTATACAGTGCAATTTATGGAATACAGTGAAATCTTACTAGTATACTGTGCAATTTTACGGAGTGCAGTACAGTGCAATTTTACGGAGTACAATACAATCGTACAATGCACTGTATTCCGTGAAATTGCACTGTATTCCGTAAAAGTAAAATTGTACTGTATACTTATAGGCACTGTATTCCGTAAAATTGCACTGTATACTAATACGATTGCGCTGTATTCCGTAAAATTGCACTTTTACACTAGTTAGTAAAATTGCACTGTATTCCGTAAAATTGCACTTTATACTCTGGCACCCCTGATGGAAAGGCCATGTTGATTTGATTATATGGATGTCATCCACTGAGAACCCCAAAACTGATGCGAGCATGCGAATAAAAAAAAAAGTTTGGCAAAAAAAAGTTTCCTTCATTATGAAATCTACGTGGTCATAAAGGGTGAACAAATATGAGTATGGTATAGGGAATAATATAATTCATTTCTTCACATTTTCTTCTTTTCCTTAATTGATTTCGACATTCTATGACAATTGTTTTCCAATACTTTTTTTCGCAACATACGACATATATTCGCTAATTTTGTACGATTGACAGCATGGTCGAAAACTTTTTTTTTTTGAAACGGACGAAATTTAAATTCATGCGCGCGGTGATGTCATCCATATAATCAAATCAACATAGCCTAATAAAAAAGCATGGTGACAGTTGGAGGTTACAATAAATTTTATTTCCAATGTTTGTAACTGCTTAAAGAAAAGCCTGAGAATTACGTTCTACTATTGTTGTAAAGTTAAATTTTACTCTGAGATTTCAAATTTTATAAGGTATACTTTATCAATATTGAATATAACATTTAAAGGTATTTTTTCGATATTGAATATTTGTGTTAGAAATGTCTGAGGATACAGGGTGACATAGGGCGTATCTATACGGAACCACCCAAGGCGGTTTACATGTGGTTTACCCCGAAGCCGGTTTCAAGTGGCTCCATCTGAACGCTCCGAAATCACATTGAAAGCGCCTCGATCCCAAGCCACTTCTAGAGGTGGTTTCGAATCGCTTTCCTCGCATCGCGATTTGCGTCTGAACGCAATGTGACTTCAATGTGACTTCGCCTGGTCATGGATTACGGAGTGATATTTTTTTTTATATGCAATACCAACTTTTACGTGGCAGCAACTTAAAGAGCAGTAATGGTCAAATAATGTGTCCGTTCTAGGGCGAGCTTCACCGCCTCTGGCGGGACCACGTCGGCATTCGGCCGAGATACGCTGGGAGGGGGGCATCAGCAAGCAGGTCGTTGACCTCTGACATTAATAACACGCCGCCTTGCGTGTTATCATCAAACAGCAATAAATGTTGCTCAAGCGTATTGTGTTCGGACACGGTTTCACAGGTGTGTGTGGCACGTGGACCAGATGTGAGGAATGTGAGTTACCCGAATCGCGTCTTGGGTGGTTCCGTATAGACACGGCCATAATAAGGTAGGAAATACCTGGCGTACGCCGAGATATTTGCAAAATTGATTGGCCGTACAATTCACTGACTAGATTTCGTACATTCCGTCTAAGGCAATGTTGATTTGATTATATGGATGACATCCCCTGGGAACCCCAAAACTTCGAATAAAAAAAGATTGCCCCCCCCCCCAAAAAAAAAGTTGCTTTCATTATGAAATCTACGTGGTCATAAGTATGGTATGGCGAATATTATTATCTTCAAATTCAATACTTTGCATTTTCTTTTTTTTTCGTTTGATTTTTTTCGTTTTACAAATATTTTTTGCAACAATATATTTGCTCATGTTGCAACTGTTTTGTACGATTTACAGTATGGTTGAAAACTTTTTTTTTTGGAAAACGGACAAAAATCCATGCGCGCGTAGATGTCATCCATATAATCAAATCAACATGGCCTTACCTACATGTAAGTAAAACAGCGTGACAAAACACTTATTTTACTAGCAATCGACGGGTTGTCCACAGGGTACTGTAAACAGATTGTCTGGAACAGTAGTCTACCACCAGACAAAGTACTGTCCATACTCTCTCCTATTTTAACCAAGAAGGTACATATAACGTCCTTGCCAAACTTTATAGTTTAGAGCTTTTCCAATAAGTGAAACGACTAAAATGACCGGCAAGGCCAATACGACATTTTCTGTATTTTGCAAAATTTCCACTTGCAAGGATAAATTCATATAGACTGTGTATGACCATAGAGGTAAATCACATACTGTGATATTTTTACCTCCATGGTATGACTATATGTTCATAAATTTGGTAGGGCTCCAATCATGTTGTTATATTCTGTCTAACCCTGACATCTCAATATTAATGATCTACTAGCAAACAAACAAACAAACAAAGCCTAAGCTAAAGTATTATTCACGTGCCTGTGGTTTTTGCCATTTACGGCCATCGGCAGTGTTTCCAGTGTTCGAGACAACGTTTGCGTTATCCCGTGGAAAATGCATCGATCTGATATTGCAAGTATGGATTTGAAAGTAAGGCCACAGCAAGTAATTTTTTTGCCTTCAGACAGTGGTCACCATGCCGAAAATGGGCAAAGATGTCTGTTGCCATGCCGGAACGTGGATGGCAGATACCTATGAAGAGAGGAGACAAGAAAAGGCTCTGATTTAATGTTTTGTTTCTTACTTTGAAGCAGTGATATGTGATCATGATGCTTGCTGTGCCTAGTATATGTGATGTTCCCACTGAATCAAAACCATTTGTACAATAATTAAGTCAAAATGTAGGAAGGAACCTTGTCTTTTTAGACCCGCCTTGTTTTTTTTCGCCCGCTCGCATTAGATTTGGAGTCTGGGGAGGATGTCATCCATAAAATTTACTTGCTGTGGCCTAAAGGGCTAGTATCCCGTTTGCTCTCTCATATGAAAGGTGAAGATCATCGATCATCCATTTTACTGGCTCAGTGAGAAGCAGGAGATTGCTCGGGAAAGGTTCGATAAACCCCGCTCCAAAGCACATCAGTATACAATCCATTATTTATTGTAAGGCCACACCAAGTAAATTTTATGGATGACGTCCTTTGGAGACCCTAAATCTAATGCGAGAGGGCGAAAAAAAAACAAGAAGGGCCCTAAGAAACAAGATGCCTAGATTAGAAATATTACACTGCTGACAGGACCGTCCTGTCTGTTAATAGTTCCAAAAACGGCACTGTTTTGGAGCTATTGACAGGATTTTTTTCAGTGCCATTTTTTTTTTAATTTTTGTTTCCATTTTTTAACCAGGCACAGGCTTTCAGCGTTACGGGTTTCACATCAATCTGACGATTTGCGGCATTGTCGTGACTCTTTGGTCATCATAGTTACAGGAAGCAGAATTTCTTGTTTTTTTTTCTAGGAACAGGCCAAAATCAATGCGCGCGCGGACGTCATCCATAAAATTTACTTGGTGTGGCCTAACTTGAACAGAATAGAAGACGAACGCCATTTTGTAATAAAATGTACACTGTATAGCAAAGAGAGAAATGAACTGTATAGGTTTGTACAACACCTATTCCCTTATTTCACGCTGTAGAAAAATTCATATTCCTTATGCGACTAGACAAACCACCCATCGAAAAACAGATCTGTACCTTTATCTCTACAATAACTAAAAAGCGAGGAGAAGTTGAATTTATATAATGATAGTTAGTTAATTTTGTATCTGTTAACCGTGTCCATTCATATTGTTTTGTTGTGACTTGTACTTAGCCAAGTGTGGCAGAAATGTGCAATAAAGGTCTTCATTTATTATTTATATACGGGTGCGGCTCTAATTTTGTACATTCAAGGCAGATAAGCAATTAAATATTTGGTACCGTAACTTGAACACAAACGGCAGATCGTATCTCAATTGTCAGCGATCTTTGTTGATGAAAACATGGCTAAAATTCTGCTTCTTTTTTTTTTTATATAGAATTTATAGCTTTATACTATGCATGCACCCATCTGCATTAGCCATACCTACCTACCTACAGGGTTTGAGTTTTTAAAGCTTTATTTTCAACACTAGAAATAGCATATCTTTATTTTGAGAAAAAGATCAATGTTCTATGTTAAGGCCACACCGCCTTAATTCTATGGGTGACATCCACGCGCTCATTGATTTTCGCCTGTTCTCAAAAAAAAAAAAAAAGATCACGTCCTCCGAGGCTCTAGCCTGGCTCTAGGCCTGGGTAGTCCATGGTAGTTAGCGGATACGGAGCCAGCGGTAACTCTGGAGGACGGCACCCAGGCTGCCGAAGCTCCACGAGTACTCAAGAATTCATAAATTCCACAAAAAAGGCAGCATGTGCCGGCTTGTCGTATAAGTCGTTATGTACTGCGCAAATTCACAATACCAGCTTTGTATTCCTGTGGTTTAGTAGCATTTTTATTTTTGGCCAGAATTTTTGGTTTTATTCGCCCTCGCGCACTTGTTTGGCGGTCTTCAGAGGATGTCATCCATAAAATTAAGTCGGTGTGGCCTACATGGGACCGACACGAGCAGAAAGATGTAAATGGAGATTCCCACCTCTCCATCTGTTGCCTAGCAACAGCCTGGGAACGAGGACGTTTCTATTTACGATGTTTTCAAGAAATCGATATACCTGTCTTCGCGCATGGAAATAAAACGCGTGTACACTCCATATTCAGTCATGGGCAGCGTAAAATAGGTCAAGGTGACAGGCTACCCACAATCCTCCTCTCCTCTACTAACGGTTCCTCTCCTGCAGGTGACCGCGAGTAACCCCTCCCGGGAGGTTGGTGACCTAGGAAGGGAGGAGAGAGCCTGGAAATGGCCTTGGAATTTAGACAGACGGCCTAGTAAAATAGGATAACGACCTAAAAGATGCGCACGTGACCCAAAATTGCAGGGG